CAATTTTTGTAACTTTTAATGATTTATCGTTTTTGTATAATATTAAATGTATTTAACCTGCCGTCATGAATAACCGAGTTGGCTTGGGGCCGAGGAGTTGGTTATGGGTAGAAGTCCGGCCGGAGTGTCGTCTGGGGACTAGTTGGTTTTGGTCCAAGTTGGTTTGGGCCAATTGGTTTTGGGCCGACTGGCGTGACCTGCTACCACATAAACTGTACTTTATTTCTGCGTCCTAGGACGCCCTCCAGAAGAAAAATAAAGAGTCTGTTCCTATGCTATGCCTACTGTGGTATTATACTGTATAGTACTTGGGTGCTCATTGCGTCTCAATTTAATATTACGTAATATTATAGCATTAATAATAACAAGGGATTATAAATTGGTTGTATTGTATGTGTATAATTACATGGACTGTGTAAAGTACAGTTACCTTAGGGCGCAGTTTGTGTTTCGGTCAGACACGCGTGTGCAGCTAGACTCCCTTGGCAAAGCTGACGCTCTCATGTTCAACATGGTGTGTTTGGCCGTGGCATTGGCAGTGCAGGTCTCCGGAAGTTCTATCTAAACCTGGGCCTAAGCAGTAGTCCAAAAGAGAGAGGAGGACTGAATCTGGAAACGGTACAGGAATTGGCCTCGTAATGATATCAGATAGGAAACCTAAGTTCTGAGAAGCCAACCCAAGGCATGAGTTACCTACAACCTGGCCTAGGCCTAGCCTAGTGTAGTCTGTGTAGTAGGCCTAGATAGGCCTATTTTTCGTTTTTGTCATCTGTCATCAACCTCATCTTCGCCTGGAACACGAGGAGGCGTAGTCCTAGGCTAGCTATAAACCTAATCCAGACAGATATCAAAATGAAAACCAGAAAACAGTTTTACAGAAGTTGTACTAGGCATACAACAAAACGCTTTTCAAGAAAATGGTTTTCAACTGCACTGAATACAAATGTTATTAATAAATCAAGGTCAACAGCAAATAAACTGCTTTCAAGGAAGTATACTTCCTTGCTGCTTTCAACTGAAACAATACAACATCATAGGGCTAGGCCTAGTCTGAGGCCAAGATCCATAATTGAGATCAAGCGAGAAGATGAACTTCATTGCAATAAAAATTCATGGAAGAAAAGACGTAGAATCCTTCAATTTCAGAACTTGCCTGTTATCTGTCAAATCCATGTATTCACATTTTTGAATGATTTTGAAAAATGCCAAGCTTCTATGGTATGTCTAACATGGGCCAGACTTATTCGATCTCCAAGTCTTTGGACGAAAGCGGATTTCACCCAGATTGGTTTACTTAGAGTGAATTTCAGACACCTGTGCAGTCAGACAATGCTAGATTTTCAATTCACTTCCGAAGATTCAATCAATAATCATTTGGAAGAAATGTCAGAAAGATATATTAAAAGTCTTATTAACCGTAAAGCAGCTTTACATGTTTTGAAATTTAAATTTGATATCATTGAAAAGGAGGAATCCTGGTTGAAACTATTAGAAATTTGTCTGACAAAAACTGTTTCTAAGGGATTGAGAATGCTTGAATGTGATTGGTCGCAGACGGTATTTTGTAAAGCTTATTGCAGAGCAATGACTTGGTACCATTTAAAGCCTCGGAAGCATTTAAAACGAGAAAGAATAGCATGCTTTCAGCGTTTTCTCAAGGTTCTTCACAGTACTTCTCCGAATATTCTCACCATTTCCTGTCCATTTGATTGGTCTCCTTCATCTGTCGGCCATATTGTACGCTTTGAATGCTTAAAAGAATTGAAACTCGCACGATACTGGGCTTTGCGTGGTATGCAACAGGAAGAGCTGACAACTTTACTCCAAACTTTACTCCATTTAGAAAGACTTACTATTGAAGTCTGGATTCCCATACAACACAACCAGCACCATTTTAAGATTGTGTCAAAATCATTGAAATATCTAGACATTAGAAAATGTAATGGATTCTACCTATCTGATCTAGATTTACCTAATTTGGAAGTTTTACGAGAGGTTAAGTGTTACGTTGGACCGTTGATCATGTCAGAATCCCTAAAGGTGCGATGCCTCTTGGACGTATTAAGAGCTGGTGCACCTAAATTGAATACTTTGAACGATTTGAAACTGTTACCAATATGGAAGAGTGGTGATGCAT